AGGTCAGTAGGTTTCTTGCATGCAGAGGCCGGCGATGGCCCTGTCGCCGGACGTGACTGGCATATCCTTTCGCGCTGGCCATCCCTCTCGCGGCCGCCTCACCCTGCTCGAAAGCATGGAAAGTCCTGTCGATCCTGCCGTCATCCTGCAGCCCCAGTAAGAAGACAAACGGGCGGAGCGCAGTGAACAGGCCGGTGATATTTCCGTGGAAGTGTGAGTCACAGGACGATCTCAGTGAAAGTAAGAGAGCAAGAAAGCAGCAGCATTCCTAATACAAGAAGAGGTCCCCGCAACCTCTCCGCGACCAGCGAGGAGTCCCGCCCAGCAAGTTCCTTCGAGTTCCCTGTGACTTTTCCACATAGACCTTCCACCTCTGCTCTGTGTGAGTGCCTTTTCCACAGGAAGGAGGTAACAGGATTCAAATTAGACGACTCTTAACACAATGCTAAGATATCGTCACTAACAGACCAGTGCCAACAGAAGAACCAAACTGCCAAAGAAACAACACGGGCATCCTTATCACTCAATTATATGCAACAGCAGTAGAATGCAGTTGCAAAAAAAAAACAGCACGAAAAGTGGCACACCGACGTCAATACTGCTATAGACGGAGATAAAAGCTGAATAACAATGTGAGTGAAAATGGAGACAGCGGTAATGTCATTGCAAAAAAAAAAAAAAAAAAAAAAAAGACAGCACCAGCATCAGGAGCTCAGGCATGTTCCACGCCGAGGCAAGACTGACAACAGAAGCGGAGAGAGTTCGCTCTGGCTGACGTCCAACATCGATGCCCTGCGAGTGCTGGTCCATTATATAGATTTCGAAGTGCCACGGCTGGTCTTGGGACTCCGGAGTGCAGTGACCGTTATCTCTCGTGTCCGGTTTGAGTTCGTAGCCCCTGTGATTAAGATTCAGGTCGATGAAAGTGAAACCATACAAGGAAAGCAAAAGGTGTTTATGAAAGAGGGTAAAGGGGAGAAAGTGTTTGAGAGAAAGAGGGGCCAAGGACAGAGAGAGAGAGAGAAAGGCAGAAAAAAAGAGAGGAGGGAGAGAAAGAGACAGATAAAGAGAGAGAGAGGGAGAGAATGAGAAAGAGAGAGAAAGAGAAAGATAGAAAGAATTAAAGAGAAAGATAGAAAGACAGAATTAAAGATAAACAAAGAAAGAACACTTCAGAAGAAATAAACAAAAAACAAGAGAGAGGGAGAGAGCATGAATAGAACGGGTTTAACAAGACACAAAAACAAAAAAAATATACATATATATCGCTCCTTTCTCTACCTCCTGCTTGTATCTCTCGCGTCCTATTGGAATTTTTAATCGTTCGATCAAATATTATCGTAGTGACTATCAATTTTCCTTATCTAAATATACGTTTTTTTTTCTTGATGAGAATTATTATCAATAACTTTATATTTTTCATTCGATGAAAAGGTTTCGCATAAACTGAAGTAGATTTCGTTTATCTGTCTGTCCGTCTGTCCATCTCTCTCTCACTCACATTCACACACACACAAACACACACACCACAAACACACACACACAAACACACACACACACAAACAAACACACACAAAACACACACATACACACACACACACACACACACACACACACACAAACACACACACACACACAAACACACAAACAAACAAACACACACAGGGGCTGATTTAGAAGCATGATAAACAAACAACTGGACTGGAGACTAACGCACACATCAATGTTATTATCGTTACAGACATAGTGGGAGATATAATCCATAGATCAGATTGGACGAATTAATAGTTTGATGAAAAGGTAGATAGAGAGATTGATAAATGCAAATATAGATATCGTTGTAGAATAGACATAGACATAGATGTAGATACATACATATATATATATAT